TGTCAGGCTGTTGTCAGGCTGCTGTCAGGCTGCTGTCAGGCTGTTGTCAGGCTGCATTATGGACGGTACCTCTCTTCTTGGTGTACTGCTGCGGAGCCGTCCAGCCGTACAGACCGTCTCCGGGCTCCTCTCCTCCCAGCACCGTGTCGTATCTGGACATGGAGTCTCTGTGGTAAACCTCTTCATCATCATCATCCTCCATCGCCCCCACCCCGAACGCCTGCAGGTCAAAGGTCACCGGTACAGTTACAACGTGGAGCTTTCAGTCATTAATCAGACGATCCAGACTGTAGAGGTCCCACCTGTCCCGCCACGCCTCCTCTCCGCGAGCCTCGCTGAGCGCCTCCGAACAGTCGACTCCTCGCCTCGGACTGCGGCCTGAACAGGTCGATGTGTTCTGGAGCTCCTCGGCCCAGCAGCGCCATTCCCGGGTCCAGACCGCGGTACCCCAGACCCTGAACCCCCACCTTCGGGGTGAAGTCCACCGGAGTCTCGTCCTTCGGGGCGAAGGTCACGTTCTCTGGAGCAAACTCTTCATCATCATCCTGATCCTGTCGGCCAGAGAGAGGAAGGGACACGAGCATCAATGCTGGAGCAGCTTTAAAGTTTTATTGTGTGTTTGTACAAACGCTGGATTTTACTTTCACTCATTCTGGATGTAGAACGACAGAATATCAGCTGAACAAACACATCAATCCTCTGGGTCACTTCCTCCAATATCACAGTAAGCTGAATGTCTTTGGCTTTGAGGATGTTAGTCGAAACTTTAACTGTGAGGAACATTTTATCCTATTTTTTGGACAAACCAAATATCTGAATATAGCAATAATTAATGGTTAGTTACAGCTCTATATCACAGCTTAAAGGGAAATGTTATACTTTTCAACCTGGACCTTATTTCCCATGTTCCCAAGTGACTAATGGGGACAACAGTTTTTGTCAGACTGTAGTCTCACTCACCTCTGAGTCCTCTGATCCAGCAGGGGGCAGCACACAGCCGTAAACTCTGCTACCTCCATCTGTGAGGAGGACAAAGACGAGGCCATAAAGCAGAATGACAGGACACAGCATGAAGTTTACGTACAGAGAGGAGACAGCAGAACACCAAATTAGCACCAATAAAAGACAACAAATCATAGTTTTTACTTCATAATAAAGCTGAACGGACTGAGTCAGAGTCATGTTTTGTTGTATTTTGATGATCCAGATTTTATTCCACCATTAAAACTAACAGAAACCATCGTACCGCTCTGCTGTCGGCGAGCTTTCCTCTTCACACGAGGTCCGACACCCTGGCCCTCCTTCCAGCCCATCCTCCTCAGCAGCTCCACCCCGATGGACAACCTGAGAGACAAAACCAACACACCTCAGAACTCACTCACCCTGCTGAGAGAGCAGTGTTTGATATCTCGTCCCGCTCTCCAAATATCACCATCAACCATTCAAACTGTGAGTTCTGCATGATAGAGGTCGACAGTCACAGTGCAGTGACCGTTAGTGACCGGTTATGACGGTCTTGGTGGTTATGATTGGCGAGGTATTGACCAGGTAGGGTCTTGAGGGGGTCTGAGTGGTTGAAGTGACGTGATTGGACGGGTTATTGACGGGTTGTTGGTGGGTTATTGACGGGTTGTTGGCGGGTTATTTACGGGTTATTGTTGGCGGGTTGTTAGCGGGTTATTGATGGGTTGTTGATGGGTTGTTGGCGGGTTATTTACGGGTTATTGTTGGCGGGTTATTTGCGGGTTATTGACAGGTTATTGACGGGTTATTGACGGGCTGTTACCTGGCAGGTGCAATCAGCTCCTCCAGCAGAGTGTCTCCGGGGATCAGCGCCGCCTGAGCGTTGACGGCTCTCGCCTTCTCTCTGATCTCGTCTCTGCGCCCGGACGAGAACTCCTGACTGGTGGTGATCTCTTTGGGAGCGATGCCGTGCTCGCCAAAGTCCTGACACACAAAAACAACAATAATATCAACAATAACAACAACAACAACACATCCATCCACGATTCATTTCAGCAGTTTGGTTTCTACCTCCTCGTCCATGAAATCTTCGGGTCTGACATGATGTTTCTCAGCTTTCTGTTGCCGTGACGACACAAAGGTTGACGGCGCCCAGCCTAAAAACACAACAACACGCATAAGATGTCAACAAACTGACATTTCGCATCGGTAAATAAATGTGATTTTGTTTCTGTCCCCTTTGAATGAAGTTATGATGTTACAATGACCTGTGAGGTAAAATTACTGTTTTTGTCTATGGAGTCTGGTTGGCTGTAGTCCCCATTCTTTTGGTCTGAGATGCTCTAATGTGTAACTTTCCAGGAGTCGCAGTCTGAATAAACACTGAATTAATCCCAGATCCTGGACCACCACTGATCCAGATCCTGGACCCCCGGTCCCCCTTGCAGCAGCACTGACCTTCTTTAGTGCCGACAGTGTTGAAATAACCGGCTGAGAACCCTCCGGTGAACGCTCCGTGGAACCTCTGATATCGTCCCTTCTCGTCCTTCACCGTCTGCTCGTGGAGCGGGACGGGCTTCTTCAGCGGCTCGTCTGCAACACACACACACACACACACACACACACACACACACACACAAGAGTCAGAACTGTTTATTGTTGTTGTTGTTGTTGTTGTGTAAACATAATAGAACAGAGTTACTGATTATTAAATCCTCCATCTTTCTTCACTATATCTGAGCCTTCATTAGCACACAGTGTGTAACAACTACACGTTATTAACTTCTTGTTTAAATACAACAATGGGACAATAATCGTATCAGGTGATTATTGATTATATCGGCTGAAAATTTAAATCTATATTGGTCAGACAAACACAGCAGTGAAGTAAAAGTAGTAAAAGTCCTTCTGATCCTCCTCAAACAGACACTGTGTAATCTGTGTAATCTTTAATCTAAAGAACATTTCCACACAACCAAACTCAATACAGAAATCCTCCCTTTTTATTTGCCTCCCAGAGGTCTTCAGGATTATATACGAATAACACATCCACTACAGCAGAAAGTGTAACTGCCTCATCTTCAGCCACAACTTTACTTTTCTACAGAAAACTGACTCTAAAAAATACATAAATAAGGTTAGAGGTTAAGAAGCAGATTTTTAGAAAGTTTGAACTTTTGAATTAAATTATTTGCAGTTTTGAGAATCATTACCGGCCGAACTAACAAACGGAGTGTTATGATTAATAAAATATATAAAGTGACATTAACAGAGTCGGTTCACTCAGCCGGTAACACGATGTTTAAAAACGGCAGATATTTGAATGGAGTCTGGTTCACAGCGCGGGGAGCAGCTGCTGTTAGCGCGAAGGGTTAAAGGTCAACCGGACATTATAACGAGGCTCTAATGAGGCTTCCTCCAGATTAATGAGCTTTAATGAACTGTACCTTCCTCCAGAGGATCCAGCGGAGTCCCGTAACTCACACAGTCCTCTTCACTGTCGGACGCCATGGCTTACTATGACTACGGGAGCCGCGGAGGGACAAACGGAGCGACCGAAGGCGAAGTGTTTAAGGTAGAGGAGTGAGCGCCATCTTGTGGAGGAACACTGAACACTTCCTAACCTCAGTATTTCTTTATGTTATTACATCTATAATAACAATACAAATATATAAGCAATGAATAATACAGATCAGAAACATAGTCTCTCAGCCCGAATATACTTTAATATTAATAATAATATAATAACTTCTTATAAGAGATACGATTAATAAAAGAATTAAAGTACACAGGAAACATTTAGTATTTATTAAAGACATCACATATCTTCATTATTGTGTTTATAAAGAAAACACACACTACTTTTATATTGTGATTGTTGACTTTCAGGAACCATCAAACACATTTTACAGACAGACAGGCAGACAGACAGACAGGCAGGCAGACAGACAGGCAGGCAGACAGACAGACAGGCAGACAGACAGACAGACAGGCAGACAGACAGACAGACAGACACAGACAGACAGACAGATGAAGTCGTGCAGGACAGTGAAGAACAGACAGATAGACAGACAGACAGACAGGGCAGGCAGGCAGACAGATAGACAGCAGAACAGACAGACAGACAGAACAGGCAGACAGACAGACAGACAGAAGAGCTGTTTAATGTGACTGCAGCCTCAGAGGAGCGGAGGTGTCGACTATCCGATGTCCGTCCAAAGCCAACAGCAGTTTGTCATTTGTTTGCTCTGAGCCTGTGAAAATCTGTGGATTCCCTCAGCGAGCTACGAGAGCTCACGCTGCTCCACACAAACCAAAAGCCTGACTCAGCAGAAAGCGCCCAGGTCTGTTCAGGACCCCCTCGACTCCACAGAAAACACAGCACCTCCCCTGCTCGCTGTAAACTCGACCGAACGTGAAACTTCAGGGGGTTTAAAACTAACCTGAACTCAGGAAGAGCTGCACAGGACTCAGGGCGGGAACGGAGGGTCAGCTTGGTGGAGTAATATGCTATTTTACTGGATGGAACCAGAAGAGAACCGGAGAGACCAGAGCCAGAGTCAGAAGAGAACAAGAAAGAGAACCGGAGAGCAACCAGAAGAGAGTCAGAAGACGAACCAAGAAGAGGGACGCAGAAGAGAACG